CACTGGAATAGGCTGCCCAGGGAGGTGGTTGAGTCCCCATCCCTGGATGTGTTTAAGAAAAGGGTGGATGAACTACTTAAGGATATGGTTTAATGGGGGATTAGGGACGGTTGGACTGGATGATCTCTAAGGTCTTTTCCAACCTAGAAATCTATGAATCTATGAATCTAATAAGTAACATCACTGAGCTTTCATGAAAGGCTAGAAGTAGCTTTCTGTGCTTTTTTAATAAATCCTTTGTAAAGGAAGGTAAATAGAGGAAGTATACATACCCTGCTCATCAATACTTACCCATCCAGAAATCCACTGCAATCTGTTTACCTTAACAAGTTGCTCCAAGAGCTTTTATTTCCTTTCTGTGGGGAACCTGCTCTTCTTGTATTAACTTGCTCCCCTCCGCAAAAGCAACGTGTTCTGAAACAGGGGTAGAACAAACATTAGATATCTGAAACACTTTCCTCACCCCAAACCTTTTCTATCAACTCTGTTCATTCAATCAACTTACTTCTAAATTCACAGTTTAAGTTCAAATCTATCATCCTACAACGCTAGGGAGAGAATGTCAGTCTATACAATTATTGCTGTGAGTAAAGCAGAAACAGTACTGTTTATTCTAGATTTTCCACTCTGTCACGTCACATTTCCAGAATCCTTTGTTTCGTGCTTTATAGATAGATGGAAAAAATACAATGTTTGTTAAGAGATGGACAGACATAACTGTAATTAAGTAATCAAACACTAGAATTAAGAAGTATATCTGTAATGGAATATTACAAAAATAAATGGTTCAAGTAAACTAAGCTATTATTGAGAAAAGAAACCTTAACAGTCACATTTCTTTACTTTTTGTTGTGTTAACCTCCTTGATGCTTGCACCAGAACACACTATCCTAAAATTACGATATAGCAAAAGGAAAATTACAGAACATACATTACAAATCAGGCTTACAATGCAATATAAACTTTACATGGCTAGTAATTTTCAAATGTTATATATGCACTGCAGTGATACTTAGCACAGGTTCAGGCATCCATATAGCTTATATTAACACGGGATCATTCACAAGAGATTGAAAACGTTCAAAGTTCAAGCCTATATTTATTCTTCTGGTTTTGTAACAGTCACTAGGTTCCCCAGACTTGGCAGGATTTTTAAAATGTATCAACTTGTGTAGTTACCTGCTATTTGAGGACAGCCCTTAAAATCTCCAGAGGAATAAAGCTCACATGTTCTTCTATGCATTTACAACACTATTCAAGTCCTCTTGTCCATTAACTGAGTGGGAGCAGGATGGGGGCTGGGGGGGGCACCAAACAGCAAAGCTGTGAACCGGATTAATCCTAGAAGAGAGGCGACCACCTTTTAATTCCTTCATATGTTAGCCTTACAGCCAAATGCCATTATGTAACAGCATTTGAACTGCAATAAAGGTAACATTCGATTGAAATGAAAGTTTAAAAAAAAAAAAAATTTATCAATGCAGTTGGCTTGTACCTCCCTGGAAATCAGTCAGTTACACTGAAGATTAATTTAATCCAATATTCTCTTTTACCTATCTTATTTTTCCCTCCAGGGTTGAATAATTCAAAGTTAGATTTCCCTGCATCTCAGCCTTTGCTGAAAAGAATTCATTCAGTTCACTGATTCTTAAAAGTTTCCCAGGATTATTCCATATATTTTCTTTCTCTACAAGAATAAAAGCATCACAAGCACATAAGGCTTTTAAAAAAGTTTTAAATATACCTGAACAGATGGGAGCAAAGAAGAAATGAGACTATGCCAAGACTATACCTCAGGCCTGACTCAAACCTTTGCTATTCCTGTTTTCACAGATCCTCAGTAGAAAGAACAGACTTGGGCTGTATTACAGTATGTGCACATAATACATAGCAAAGACCCAAAACATATATATTTTTGCTAAATACACTTATTCTTTCCACAAAGGCTCTTAAAAAGGTTTTCATGACCTGTATTACTAGCTATGACACAAAAGTTTATGTGCTTAACTGTAGTGCATAGTCATAAATATAATCTGCATGTATTTCCTCACAAACATCAGCTCCTACCTCTGCAAGACTCAGCAACAAAATTACCTAAAAAAATCAGGTTGTGGTTGTTTGGGGTTGGTTTTTTTTTTAAATTTGCAAAATGAGGTAGCTTGTTTTGAAAAAGTGCTAGTATCAAGGAGAAACACAAAAACTACACAGACAATGCCACAGTCAGTATTTCTAAATGAGCAACTACTAAAAAAGGAATGATCTACAGAATTAAAAGAGGTTTAGAATGGGAAACCAGGAATAACCTCTTACCTCACAACTGGTAACAGGGAAAGATGCTTAATGATAGAAACACAACTGCTAGAAACCCGTAAGATTGATTAGACTGATCACTTGATGAACTGTTGAGACTTTGAAAAAACCCAGCAAAACACAAACTGGTGAGACCTAGTCTGCAGAAAATGCACGTTCAATACTGCTGCAGAATGAGCTCAAGTCTTCGTGGTAGCACATAGGCACCAAAATTACAGCTGGATGGAAACAGAGGCACCACCAATATACAACAGCCCTTCCAGAATCAGGCTTTGTGTGTCCTTCTTTTAAATTAGGCTACACCACTCATCTATAAAAGTCTTCATGATGAAATAAATTACAATCCCATAGCTACATTCAAGGCTTAATCACTGGAAAAAATCAACACCAAAATACAAGCACTTCTCTGGAAGGATGGCAAATACTACACCTTTTAAGACAGTCAACTAGGTAATGCTTCGCAGGCCAAGTCTTAACTCCATAATTGAATGATAAAATAGAGTTTTAAATTTATCATGAATTGTAGAAATTGAAGTGTGTCTACCAAAAAAAAAAAGAAATCACTAACACTTTAAAAAAAGTAGAAACTGGAATTTAAAGCCTTTACTAAGTACCACTAACAACATCTGCGATTAAGACGACAGAAGAGCACGGTCACAGTTACGCACGCTTCAAGCAAAGTCACAAAAATCAGAAGGAACCACTGAAATCCAGTCAAAACTACAGTTCCAGCACAGGGCACTTGAAACAGACATCCCAAGTAGGATCACCATGTGTAAAGTGCTTCCATATAAAGGCTAGAAGCCTAAAAACAAAAAAGGAAAAAATGAAAGACTGCTTT